GGTTTGTCAATTTTATTAATCCTTTCAAAGAACCAACTTTTACTCCTATTGATCCTTTCTATTGTTTTTCTACTTCATTTATTTCTGCTCAAATCTTTATTATTTCTTTTCTTCTGGTGACTATAGGCTTTTTTTTTGTTACTCTTACTCTAATTGTTGGAGATATTGGATTAAGATACTGATTTTGGCTCTTTGTTCTTTTTTGATGTGTGTGTTTATTACTATAAGTTGTCCTCTGAATAATTTTTTTTGCTGTATTCCAAATATTTTGGTATGTTGTATTTTCATTTTCATTTGATTCAATGAATTTTTTAATTCCATTTTTATTTCTTCTACTTTGTTGTTGTTGTTGTTGTTATGTGCTGTCAAGTTGGACCTGACTCTTGGCGGCCCCTTCTTGGGTTTCTGAGCCGGTATCACTATGTAAGTAGATTGCCCAACCTTCCTTCCGAGGAGTGGCTGGTGGATTTGAACCGCTAGCCTTCTGGTTAGCAGTCAGGTAAGTGCCTTAGGCCTTATGCCAGTAGTTTTTAAGCAGAATGCTATTCAGTTTCCACATATTTGATATTTTTTCTTGATATTTCTGTTGTTGGTTTCAAATTGTATAGCATTGTGATCGGAGAAGGTGCTTTGTAGTATTTCAACATTTTAAAGCTTATTGAGGCTTCCTTTGTGGCATCATATATTCTGAAGAAGTTCATGTATGCTGAAAAAGAATGTATATTGTGCTGTTGTTGGCTGGAGTGTTCTGTATGTGTCTATGAGGTCAAGTTGATTTATTGTGTTGTTTAGATTTTCTGTATCTTTGTTGACTTTGTTTCTAGTTGTTCTGCTCTTCATTGAACTCACCCACTGACATCAAGTCCATTCAGACTCATACTGACTCCCATAGGGTTTCCACGGTTGTAAATCTCTCTCTCTCCACTCTGTCCTGTATGGTTGCTATGAGTCGAAATTGATGGCAATGAGTTTGGTTTTGTTTAAGCTTAACTACTATTTGTTTTTAAGCAGACTTTAGGAAATAATCTTTGTTTTGAAGTTTAAAGGTTATCTCAGGGCAATAGTTTCAGGGTTCATCCAGCTTCCATGGCTCTAGAAAATATGGATTCCCTGAAAATTTTAAATTCTGTTCCATATTCTCCACCCTCCCTTTTTTCTAAAATCAGGATTCCTCTATAGAATCTTTGATCAAATGTTCAATAATGGTAGCCAGGAACCATCCAATTTTCTGGTCTCATGGAAAAGGTGGCAGTTGTTTGTGGAGGCAATTAGCGACCATTCTATCTCTTCTTCCAGTTCCTGACTCTCCTTCCTCTGTTGCTCCAGATGAATAGAGACCAATTATTATGTCTTGGATGGCTGCTTGCAAGTTTTTAAGACCCCAGGCTTTATGCAACAAACTAGGAGGTAGAACAGAGGCACTAAATATGTTATTAGGCCAATTAACTGGGATGTTCCATGAAACCATAACTCTAAACCTCCAACTCAAGGAACAAAATACTATGAGGTATTTGTTTGCACATAAGCAGCCTCGGCAGATATATATATATATATATATAGTCATTGTTGTAAATATATCTCTCACACCATTTTGCCAATTCAATTTTTTACAGGTGTATAACTTATTGACAGTGCTTATAATAATTATCTTTGAAACCCTACACTTAATCAATATAATTTTTCTATCACCATTAACCATTCCTTCCTTTTCCCCCTCCCTCCTGCCCCTCATAACCACTAATAAAACTATGGTGTTTGTACATCTGTCTTTTCTTTTCTTTCTTTCTTTTTTTTAATATAAGTGAGGTGAGACAGTATTTGTCCTTTTGTGATTGACTTATTTCACTCAGCATGTTTTCAAGCTCCGCCGACATTGTAGCATATATCAAGACTTCATTTTTCCTACTACCTGTGACATTATGGGAGCTCTGGTGGCATAGTGTCTAAGACATTTGACTGCTAACCAGAAGGCTGGTGGTTCAAACCCACCAGCCACTCCTCAGAAGGAAGGTTGGGCTATCTACTTCCATATAGATACTGCCTTGGAAACCCAAGGAGGGGTCGCTATGAGTCAGATCCGACTCAACGGCAGTGAGTTTGGTTTTTTTGGTTTAGGATATTATAGAGCAACTTCCTCACCCTGATCTCCTCACAGTTTGGATTTCTGAAGGACTCTCTTAAGTCCAGAGGAAAACTCCTCATGGCAGATGCATATCTGTTTCATATTAAGCCAAAGGGGAAGGTCTGGGGTATTCCTCCCCGATTGTAAGCTGCAAACCTCCAGGGCCATTCTTTACCTTTGATCTTAAACTGCCTAAGACTGAAGACCAGCCACCCAGCAAACCTGGAAATGCAAGGCCCTGTTCTCAACCCTGATCTTCTGTTCCCCAGAAGCCAATTCTTAGAGCTTTTGTGCCTCAGCATCAGTTGGTGACAACACCTGTGCCCAGGCCCCACTCATAGAACTTCAGATTCAACTGGTCTAGGCCAGAGATTCCCCATCTTTAGTGCATAGCAGAATCACTTTGGGGGCTAAGTAGAGCACAGATTGCTAGGTCCCCTTTCCAGAGTTTCTGATTCTATAGTTTTGAGCTGTGGCCTGAGAATACGCATTTTATAGGCAGATTTGCATTTTGGGTATTGCTGATGCTGCTGACCTCAAGACAACACTTTGAGAACCATTGAATAGGGTTAAAGTATGAGTGCCCTAATAGCCTGACAGAATTAATCCATCATCTCTGAGTAAAGATCAATTATGTTAGTAAGGTCCTGTGGGACCCACTTTCTTTCTGTAAGCAGACATTAAATCACTATCAAAATCATTCCTGGGGCTATTACTTATTTTTCACCAAATTTCTATTTTTCCACACTGAGATAGGGCCCTTCTTGGATAATAGCACATCACCCCCACTGTCATTTGTTTTTTTAACAGTGCAGCCTCATAGATGGAACTGCAAACTGGCCACCTGAGGGTCTGCTATTCCTTCTCATTTTGATCAGTAGAACCAGTGTCAGTTAGGTTACCCAAAAAGTAAGGTAAGCATGGGCCTACTTGTGCTTACTTACTAGTCTATAATGAGAAATTTCACATGGGGTTCACCACATCTTTTGTGATGACTTTGCTGATTGGGTAATCCACCCTATGCAGAATATTAATTTTGGTTCTGGGGTGGTGGGAAATAGGGCCCTATTTTGGATACTTCTTTCCAGGATTTGGGCCTGGACCAGTCAGTCAGTAGATAAAGCTGAGGGGTGCCAGTCCAAGTGAAGCAAGGATGAGGTGGAAGCAGGGCTTTTAATTTTGGGTCACAACTGAGAATTCTGCAGGGCAATTTCAGGGGTAATCAGAACTCCAAAGGTTATCTCCTCAGAGCTGTCTGGAGCTCGTTGCCTCATGGTAGGCAGGTGAAGGTGGTAGCTGTCAGAAGGCAGCTGCTGCTCTCTAAACTGCTCAACTCCATCTATTGGAATTTAAAAGGCTCTTTCCTGGAAACTTTCTTTGTTGGTTACCAGAGTTGGGAGGGGTGGGGAGAGAACACTGCAAAAATTCAAAAAAATAATAATTAAAAAAACGAAAGCTCTTTCCTACGGCTAAGGAGTTCTGGTAGTACAGTGGTTAAGGCATTCAGCTGCTAACTGAAAGATCAATGGTTTGAACCCATCAGCTGCTCCATGATAGACAGATATGGCAATCTGCTCTCATAAAGATTTGTTGTTGTTGTTATGTGCCATTGAGTCAGACCTGACCCATAGCAACCCCTCCTTGGGTTTCCGAGGCAGTATCACTAAGGAAGTAGATTGCCCCATCTTCCTTCTGAGGAGTGGCTGGTGGGTTTGAACCGCCAGCCTTCTGGTTAGCAGTCAAGTGCCTTAGCCACTATGCTACCAGAGTTCCCCATAAAGATTTATAGCCTTAGAAATCCTATGGGGGCAGTTTTCCTCTGCCCTGTAGTGTTGCTATGGATCAAAATCAACTTGATGGCAGTGGGTTTTGAGTTTTGGTTCCTAAGGCTTGTCAGGTTCCCTCATGATCAGGATCCTCTAGGATGGAGGTCTTCTGGAGAATATTGGAAGACATAGGAGGACTTGGGATCAAGACTCCCTCAGTTTCTCCCACATCAATGCAGTGATGGGGACAGAGGCTTTAAAAACTTACTCTGGACCACACCAGTTGCTATGGAGACAACTGTGATGCATGGCAACCCCACGTGTGTCAGAGTAGAACTGTGCTCCATAGGGTTTTCAGTGATTGATTTTTGAGCAGTAGATCACCAGGTCTTTCTTCCAAGGTGCCTCTAAGTAGACTTGAACATCCAACCTTTTAGTTTGCAGCCAGACTCCCTTTGGGCCATTACCACTGTTAATCAAAGGTATAAAACAAAAACTCTTACAAACATGTGAATAATGATAAGTGGAAGAGACAGCTGTAACAACTATTTAGGTATCACCATGTTTAGATTAAAGGGTGGCTGTTTTAGAGATTTGCAGGATACATAAAAGGTATCAAGACAAAAAATAGGTATACTTTTATCATTGAGTCATAAAAAATCACATTATGCCTAAGTGCCTAAAGTTTTTCTTTTCCACCTCCCCCCTCTTCTGCCCAATTTCCTAGTCACTGATTTGTTTAATCAATATAAAGGCAGGCTATGTTTACTCCTAGGAGTTCTGGTGGTGTAGTGGTTAACGTATTTGACTGCTAACCAAAGGTCAGCAGTTTGAGCCCATCAGCCGCTTCATGAGAAAAGATGAGGCAGTCTGCTTCTGTAAAGGTTTACAGCCTTGGAAATCCTATGGGGCAGTTCTATCATGTCCTAAAGAGCCGCTGTGAGTCAGAATTGTCTCAATGACAGTGGGTTTGTTTTTATGTTTACTCTTAAACTAATCTTGCTTTAATCTATGACCCTGAAAAAAGAACAAAATATTCTCTTTGGTAGCAAGAAAAAGAAAGCATCAAAAGATTACGCTAGTGCTTCCCATCCCTTAATTTTTATCCTTACCTGGTGTTGCCTCTCACAGCTGTATTCAATTGGCACACGGAGCCAGGAAATGCTCTGTTCTCCACTCCTTCTCCACAAGAGAGACTCTTCACTGTCATCTTCCTTTTTCAAATAAACACTCAACAGGCCAGTCCCTGCTCCATACATGTGGTAGAAAAAGGTCAAACAGTGTTTTCCGGTGACTCCTCGCAGAGGCCTGGACAGGAGGCGTGCTTTTTGCCCATACACCATGTTGGAGGCCTCAATGTACATATAGTAGCCTTAAGAGGAATGCAAAAGCAGATGCTGTTTAAAAAGGACTCAGCTTGTATTCCCTTCTTCCGCAGTGTTCCTGGCAGCAAATTAAGGCATGTAAGTTGACAACAGTACTGATAAAGGGTTTTATAATTTTGGAGAATGTATATAATACAAGGAAAATAAATAAGCTACAAAATTAGACCATCAAGAAGATTTTTCAAATTTAATCATTTACAACTCAGTTTAATATTCAAGCCATAATTAATGTATTAGTATTATATCACTGTTGTGGTGTTCAGCACATCAAGATTTATCCTACCGATCCATGAATAATACCTTCCAGACTTTGGTGTAGAGGAAAGAGCCTGGGTTTTGTAGTTAGATAGATATGGGTTCAAGTTTTGGCTCTGATATTTGCTGGCTGTGAGATCCTGGTCTAATTAATTATCCCCTCTGAACCCATATTCATCATTTAAAAATAAAGGTTAATAGCTCCTGTTCTACGGAGCTGTGAAAACCAAATAATGTGCATGGAGTACCTGCATGCCACACATATTCAAGTATTAGTTTCCTATCCTGCCTTCTTCCTAGAATTTCCTTGTGCCACTTCTTTTACTCTTTAACATGTATTTATATAACATATTTAAATTGATTTTCCATTAGAAATTTTAGGTGTCTTTTTGTTTTGTTTTGATTTTAATTTGCTGGCCTGAGGCAGAAGCAGGATTAGTCTGCACACAAAAAATGCAGCAGGTGCTGGAGTTACTGGTTCCCAAAGGTTCCCAGCTCCATGTGATTTCACACTGGTAGCTTGACATAGGCCATAGTGGGATTATTTATACCACAGGAATTGGTTATTGCTACAAAGCAGGTTCCCCCTTCCTGCAGAAAGCCAGTTGTTGTCAAATACATTACACCACTGTTAATGCCATATATTCAAAGTAAGACAAGAGATCTTTCCTAGAGAAATGTATAGTAATATGTACCTTAATATAATTCCGTACACCTGAGGCCCATTTTTAAAAAGGCTCTGGACTTGGCATTTGTGGCTCTTAACCATAACAGCTTGATGAAATTTTAGATCTCTTTTAAAATGCATAAATATTTGCATTAAATTTTATTATTTTATTTGGCAATATTGACTTTTTTATATAGATGCTAGAAAACATAATATATTCAAAGTGTTGTGTTTCACTCTCATTATTGCAGACAGAATTTAATGGTCAAATCAAGAGAAAAAAATAGAGAAATTCCAAATAGTATATGCAAATGAAATGGCTTCTAACAGTGGCATCATTAGGGCTAATAGCCCCCAGTGTGGTAACTCACGGGGTCACCCTCTCCCGTGGATCTCCTCCTGTACCAGACCATAAGAATCTTTATTATCAATTTTAATCATAGAATTGTACAGTTGTAAATTACTTAAATGTAATCTTTCTTAGATTATATGAATAATAAACAAAATTATTTTGTAAAATCTTTCTATATCAAATTACAGCATTGTTAGTTATAACATTATTAGTAACTGAGCAGAAGCCTTTTTGGATTTTTCTCCTGTTATTGCTTTGGTGGCATAGTAGTTAAAGCATTGGGCTGCTAACCAAAAGGTCAGCAGTTTGAACCCACTGGCCTCTCTATGGGAGAAAGATGAGGCCATCTGCTTTGGTAAACATTTGTTGTTGTTGTTATTGTTAGGTGCTGTCAAGTTGGCTCCAACTGACCTTTCAGTTAGCAGCCAAATGTTTAACCAGTATGCCACCAGGGATCCTTGGTCTATGGTAGGTCAAGTGACTATCTCATTACCAAGACACAGTGGGTCGAAAAAGACCTGGTGATCTGCTCCTGTAAAGATTTCAGACTAAGAAACCTTATGGGGCAGTTCTACTCTGTCACATAGGGTTGTGAACAAACCCAAGTTTTGATAAAATTAAAGTCTTATCAAAGCAGAAGTTCTCAAACTTTTTTTTTTTTTAAATGAACACACTAAGATAATTACTTGACATAATTATTTTATTTTTTTCCTGGCAAGAAAATTGCTACACGTGAAGCACTGGAGTTTGCACATTCAGCAGTGAAAGGAACCCTTTACTGTACTTTGTTTTAATAGTTATTAACTTAAGCTGCTGGTGAGTCGATTCTGACCCATGGAGACACCATGTGTGTCAGAGTGGAAGTGTGCTGCCGTAGCGTTTTCTGTAGCTGATTTTTGGGAAGTAGATCACCAGGCCTTTCTTCCAAGGTACCTCTGGGTTTATTCTAACTTCTAGTTTGATTAGCAACTATATATACAGAATACATACACATGCACTCATGATCCTAATAGAAGGAGGGTATTTAATTTAATTCAATGGGAAATGAAAATGACCATATGTCACCAAATTACATAAAAATTGTCACATGCTATCCTATACTTAAGTTAGTGGCACAGTAGCCTGAAACAATAATTTAATAAATGTTTAATATTTCCACAAAAATTATTTTTAAGGAAACCAGAAGATAACCAAGGAAAAATACTATTTCTTTTAGCTCCTGAATTTTGTCCTCTTAAAAGACCCACTGGAATCCTAGGTAAAGGACTTTGGCTAAAGAAGAAAGCTAACGCATTTGGCTGCTAACCAAAAGGTCAGCAGTTTGAACCTCTCTATGGGAGAAAGATGAAGCAATCTTCTTTGGTAAACATTTGTTGTTGTTGGCATAGGTCAATAAAAATCGTTTCTCTGAAAAATGCTGTCACTGGGAATCTAGAAAGTGGAGACTTTCAGGATCCTGAAACATGAAGTATTTTCAGCATAAAGAGAAAACAGTGGAACTATCAAGAGTGACAGAATTGTTATGATGGTTTTCCATTCCTAGTAATAACCAATCCTGGCCAGGATTAATCTAAGGCTCTGGAAGATAGGGAAACCCCTAATCACCTAATGGATAACCCAATCAAATTATTTCTCTCCTTGGTACAATGCACTGTTCATTGAGCCTTGAATGAATTAGTGATTATCAAGGCTTTCCTAGAAAAGTGGTGGTCTAAGTCAGTGATGACCTCTTCCACCCCACTGCTTGTTCCCTGGACCAAAGACATCGCCATAGACAGGACTCCTGAAGTTAACTATATTTTTTGCTCATGCACCTATGGGTCTCAAGGATTAGGCTCAATCTATTACCTAAGGTTTTCAATTTTCAGAGATCTGTGTTTAGTAGGTGAAAAGCTGAAGGAAATATCCTAAGCAGTCTGATCTGAATAATTGCTTTACTTTGGAAGAGAAGGGTGACACATTGGGGAATATGAGTCCAGCTGTGCTCACCAATCTTCTTTCATGAATAAATTTGGCCTTGCCAAAAATTTTTCTGGATATAGTTCCTATTTTAAACACATTATCCCTAAGGCAATACCAGTCAAGACCAATTGAGACTAACATCTATACTTAAAAATAATTTAATAAATTTGGCAAATCATCAGAATTTGCCCTGTGATACAGACCTTTCTTATTTCCAACTATGCTATTTTTACCCTTGACTTGAATATTACACTTTGTTTCCCTAGAAAAGATCAGAGCTTCATTAGAGGCTAGTTCTGCCTCACATGTGTTTGGAAAGCAGAGAAAAGCACTATGTGTTGACAAGCTTTGCCACATTATAGCCCCAGACCCGCCTGTCTCTGCAAACAAAAGCTGTGGATGGGAGCCAGGAAGCCCCAGCATGGATGCCTCAGATCCACTCACGTGTTCCTGCATGTGAAGGATTTCAGTCTGTGGAAGGGATTATTAACTGGAGAAAACAAATTACTCTATCTTTGTGAGTCATTGTTTAACATTCAAGACGGGGGTCCCAATGGGTCTCCTGGGAGATCAGGGTCCCATCTGTTCTCTGCAGCAACTGTGATGCGTTGAGACACACACACCATGATCATAATTCTGAATGTGAAGCAGCTGTTCCTCTGGTCGCGTGGCTCCCTGTTACCAGGGCGGGGAAGGAGCCCGAGAGGAATGAACAACTAGCTGCATTCATTAAGCCGGAAGAGGGTTCTTAACAATCAGGGAAAAAAATGGATGGATACTTTAGGAAGGACAATCACTAAACATGACTCTCTAAGTTGCTCTTTACTATCTTTCTAGATGATTCTAAGAGGCTATCATAAGTGCCTTTACTTGGTAAGCAGTATCTGGTAATATGGAATAACAGAGGTGATAAGTTACAGAGAGATTTAAGGACACTGGAGGTTTTAATAATCTGGAACTCATTCCTCAGATGGTTACAGACGAATCGTTTTGTGTCTGGATCTCAACCTCCAACATTCTTACAAGACAAGAAGTTAAAATAGACTGCTATTAAATTACAGCTATCTAGCTCACAGTAAATATAGTGTTTATTTTCTTTTGCCTAAGAACACATTTTTAGAAATAAATTTATTTGCCTAAGGCACTTGACTGCTAACCTGAAGCTTGGTGGTTCAAACCCACCAGCCACTCCTTGGAAGGAAGATGGGACAATCTACTTCCGTAGTGATACCACCTTGGAAACCCAAGGAGGGGTTGCTATGAGTCGGGTCCAACTTGATGGCACATAACAACAACAACAACATGTAGTCTTTTAGCATATTATCGATATCTCCATCAGACAGGAAAGGATCCCTGGTGATACAATGGTTGAGTGCTCTGCTGCAAACTGAAAGGTTAGTAGTTCAAACTCACCAGCTGCTCCATGGGAGAAAAGACCTGCAATTTGTTCCCCTAAAGACTACGCCTAGGAAACGCCATGGAGCAGTTTTACTCTGCCATGTAGGGTTTCTGGGGCTTGGAATCAACCTGACGACACACAACAACAAACAAGAATGGACAGTGCCTTGAAATGAAGGAGACTTCTAATTAGTACCACACTGAGAGAGAATTTAATGTCCAGAAATAAGGAAAACACTGAACTGTACCACAAAAGAAAGCAATGGTGTCTTCTCTGAAATTTGTTAAAAAAAATGATGAACAGCTGCTTTTTTGAAACATAAGAAGTGTTGCAGTTGAAGGTATTTTCTCAC